TAGATTTAAGAAATTAGGTTGATTGATTTATCTATCATTAAGGTGGGTTCAACATTCTAATATCACATAAATATAAATTAATAAATTAAAAACAACTCAAAACAAGATTATTTCCTCGACTAAAAGAAGATTCATACGAATTAAAATGAATTTGCGTAGTCGTTTACTTCCATGGATGTGTCTGATCACGTGTTAATATATATTTTGAAATTTATAACGTTTAACCAAAGATAACCAGGGTGGACGAATCAAAAATTTTAGGGAGTTTGTTAGACCTGTGCTTTAACTGATATTATGAGAATCGATTCTTATAGTTTCATAAGAACGGAATGCTGCTAAATTGTATTTTGATGAAAGATGCGAAGAACCGACAGGCGTTACATATGAGTGACGTCTACGAACCTATGGGTACTGCTTCGAGGAGTTGAGATTGATAAGTAGTCAATTTTACCTCCTCGATTTTCTCACATTGGTAACAACTGAGATCTTGACAGAATATTCACTTTAGTAGACAAAATTCTGGTTGACACCCGTTTACTCTAAGTTAGATGCTGTTTCACGTTCAAAATATTAAATTTTGTTGGAAGTATGCGTGAGTGACTGGAGCAATGAGACAGAATCATAGAACCAATTGTCATAATCATTTTGATCCATAATTTAACTAATGATAATATAACTACTCCATCTAAATCGCAACAATAATTTCATCAGTCCATCACCATTTTTATTACGTCTTTAATTTTGATGCTTTTCTCAAATATCACTAAACAATTTTGATTCCAATCAGATACATTTTGTAGGGAATCTCAGCTTCTATCTTTATATAAAGAAAAAGGTGTCTCAATTTAGCGAAGAGTAGACGAGAAAGATTCACAATACAAAGATGAAATGTCGCCAATAAAAAATGCCGATAGACAAAATGTCGACAGAAAAATGCCAACGCAAAGATTGTCGACAGGTACCAATGTCGACATGAAAAACGGTCGAAATTTCTATCATAATACAGAATAGTGAAATTGACACGTCGTTCAATTTCATCAATATTTGAAAATGTCGAATTTAGTGTCTTAAATGAGACGATCGCAATCAGAAACATCTACGATAATGGAATGACTTCGGCCGTTCTTAGGAAAGCTACTTGTATTCTGATTCCTATAGAAGACTAGGCAAGTTAGTATTCATGTATATTGTCCATTCAAAATTGTCGACATTTTGCTTTTGTGCCGTTACAGTTAATTTCTAAGGGAAATACATTTGACACGTATAATAATAAAAATGAAGAACGAAAATTTGACTTGAACACAAAATTTTGGCTACTAGACGATTTCTAAACTATGCTCCATCCAACGTTAGTACTGACGAAACCGATCAGGGATACATTGATCTCGATTCTTCAAAATTTTCAACATTGAAAACGGTGCATTGTGATGCTTCCAATTAAGTTGATTTTATACGTAATAATCAACCTTCTCTCCACTTTTTCTATTCATACTTGATTGCCCTTCCTTTATTGTTTTCTTAAAACTATGCTTTTCTTTCCTTCGTTCTGTTCCTATAGGTCATCCTAGAATTCAGGACCATTTAAGCAATATCCAGGACTTTCTCATTAATAACACTGTATCTAATGATTTTTCTGTTTGAAAGAGCAGGCCTACCCCGGTCGAAGAAAACGATCAGTAAACGGTCGTATACGATGAAAATACGGCCCGTTTTACGTGCCGTATTTTCCCCGTAGAATATGGGCAGTAATACGGCCGTATGTTCTATAGAATACGATTATGTTACGCCTACTTTACGAGGTTTTACGGCTGACATATGGTGTCCGTGTACGGCCGTAATGCTGCCCCTGTTAAAACGCCTTAATACGGCTTAAAACGGCCGTTTTACGGCGGAATACGATGCAAAAACGACCGTTTACGATAATATTACGCCGGTTTACGGTGGTCCGTTTTGATCGACCTGGGTATGAGTAAGAACTTATGAGTCTGCGCTTTCAAATGAAAAAATGATTAGAATAAAGCGTAGTTATATTCACACTAAGCATAGTTTTATCAAAAATAAGTAAATGTATCCCTATTGATTATTTACGACATTCGTGCAAATCGAAGATTGGATGCCGATACGTTTGGTATTAACCAGCACACTACGAGTTAGATATAGTACGACAACTTGTAGTATGTCATCGATAGTCGTTTTATCTTTCGCCATTTTGTACTATCGTATCTTCTCTGTTCTGATGTTCTTATGTGTAACGTCTGAGATTTGACTTTATGCATACGAGTTTTTGCCCAGAACTTTTATTTATTATTTGTTCGTCATCTGTAATGTTTGGATAGCATGATATAGCGTTGTCGAGATGTCGAGCTGGAAAAAATATTTTTTCTGAGGAGAACAAAAATAATAGCTATATAGTAGTGTTTATATACTATGCCTTGTCTTTATACTGAGAAGTATAAACTATTTACGGGCGTATTGCTATACTACGCGTGCTATTAAAGATGTTGCAGACAGTGATAGGTACATTTTTAGTTGATGTTTTTTTCTGCATATAATCTATATTGATCTTCATTTTTTTCAAATAAATACTCATTTTAATATTGTCACATAGTAAAAGCAATGATCGAAATTGTAAAATAATTCTTAGAATGAATAAAAATATGAGCTATAGCTTTCTTTTGATTAGCGTTCATCACGTTTCATATCAATTGATTCGTAATAGATTTCGAATCCATTGTGTGTCGACTAAAGTTCACTGTAGATATTGCATATTTTTATACATATAGGATCGTAGAGCTCTGTATTATATTGCTTTTTAATAATTATTAATTTTTCTTACTGAAAGTTAGAGCCATATCAGTTTCTAACATACGATGCCATATACTGTATGCTACTTGTATACAGTAATGATTGTAACACTATTTTTAGTTCAATACTCTTACATCTCTGCAGTGGCAATTGAGACACTGGTTTCGTCATATAATACGATTGGCTATATTACTGTCACGTATTACGAATTGCGTAATAAAAATAAGAGCGGTCAAGGTCAATAATGTATTTTATTGACTCGAGAAACAGAAACAGAATAACAAGATGAAAGAAAAAAACGAACGAACGAGACGAGTAACTGGAATTTAGTACTGACTACTTGTACATGAAACTATACATATATATATATCTATACATGTATAGACGCGCTAGAACAATCCACAGAACGAAAGAATACAAGTAGATGAGATGAAAGCACACGATAGAGAAAACAACAACGAAATCACACTCCTTCACTTTAAGTTTTCTTCAATTAGTTCACGTACTGGTTCCTTAAGTATCGATGAACGTCCACATGTTTGTGATAGTTGATCAGATGAAGAAACATGAGATGTTGACGAGTATTTATTATGAAGATGTATTTTCATCTTGCAACAACCTAATCCTTCTCTGAAAATATCATTATAACTATGCACAAGTTCGTTTAAATTGGAAATTGTCGAATTAACATGAAGAACTTTACTATCATTAATAAGTTCACCTGATGATGTTTCATTTAAGTGTAAGGTATTAATCCAATTACGACCAAGAATATTATTACGATTTTTATCACCAACTAGAATTTGTAATCGAACACGTAGACCACGGTAATTCACCATTACCATTTTCTCTCCTTTCAAACGAATCGAATGGCCAGAAAAAATATTGTGAACTGATTTCACAGATTGTAGATATGGTTTTCCCATCTTGTTCCAAATATTTTCATTAATAACGGCTATAGGAGAATCTGTATCTAATTCGAATTTAACGTCTAAACCATCAATGTAAGTAACAACTTGTATTGGTTGTTCACCTGTAGTACGTTTACGTGTTGCAGAACTTATAGTATTAACATTACTCTCGTTTGTAGTAATGTCCGAACGACATACTTTAGCAGTGTGACCTTCTTTGTTGCATTTGTGACACGTAACGTTACGATAACGACATTTCGATCGAGCATGATCAGAAGATCCACAGCTTAAACAAATTGATTAATCATTGAGAAGATTCGTGTTTTGTTTACGGCGTTCATGGATTTTCATAACGGAAAAATCTTCTGATAAATCACGTTTAACATTAGCTCCTTGAATAAGAACAGATTCAAATGTCCTCGCAGAGTTGAGCGTTTGTTCGAACATTTCTAAATTTTGCTGCATCAAATGTTGTCTAATAACATGTTCATTGCGTAAACCACCAACAAATGCTGTAATCAATGCTTGTTCGTAAAAACCAACAGGAAAATTACAGGTTACAGTGTTATCACGAAGACCATTAGCGAAATCCGTAAGATTTTGCGATGAGTCTTGTCGCGTTGCAAAGAACTTGATTCATTCAGTAGACGAAAATGTAACATGTGTATAATTTGTACGAAGTTTCTGAATGATTTCTTGAAACGAACATTCATTAGGTTTCTTCGGTTTACAAATAGAAATTAGTGTCTTGAACGGTTGTAAACTAAGAGCAGTAATAAACAAGTTTCGTTTCTTCGTATCATCAGTAATCCCTTCGACATCAGTGTAAGTGCCGAAAAAAATTTCCCAATCATCCCAGCCGCAAAATGGTGGATCGAATTCATGAAGACGGTACGTAGTCGAACGTGGAGTTTATTGAATAGCAGTGCGGCTGACAGGCAGGATAATGATAATAATTAATAACAATAATATTAATTTATTTTATTTTTTCTTTTCTTTTTTTCAAAAAAAAATTCTTTTGTTTATCTCACTCTCGTCGCCAAATTGTCACGTATTACGAATTGTGTAATAAAAATAAGAGCGGTCAAGGTCAATAATGTATTTTATTGACTCGAGGAACAGAAACAGAATAACAAGATGAAAGAAAGAAACGAACGGGACGAGTAATTGGAGTGTAGTACTGACTACTTGTACATGAAACTATACATATACATGTATATATATATATATATATATGACGAAATAGAACAATCCACAGAACGAAAGAATACAAGTAGATGAGATGAAAGCACACGATAGAGAAAACAACAACGAAATCACACTACATCACAATTACAATCAGGATCATGTGATCATTCTCAAATAAATACGTCAAAAATCCGAGTTGATCATAGCGTGTCACGGATGAGATGCTCAAAATTTAAAGTATTTTCAATATATATGCCGAATTTACTTTAGTACTTAGTCACATATAACAGACAAACCTTTGGTTCTATATTTTCGAAAACCAACCACTTAGTATTATTGTTGAATAATTGTCTAGGATGGAGCTATAGTTGTCTTTTGTATTTCTAAACCTAACTACTTGACCTTAAAATGTGATACTTGTTGTCTTGCTGGAAGAAAAATATGTGGCCTAATAAAGGGATTTTTCATTTCAGAGAAAACATATGATCTATGAACGCTCATCATCTGCGTGCTATTCTTTTAAAACTACAAGATCGTCTGACTGATGATGACCGAAAACGTTTACATTTCTTCTTCGGCAATGATGTACCACGACGAATTAGAGATGATCCATCACTTGGTGGCACTCTCAGTCTCATGGAATCTCTATTTGACCAAGATAAAATCAATGAAGAAGATTTCACATTTTTGATAAATGCATTCGAAGCAATTCAGTGTATTGACACTGCAAAACTTTTGAGAGGTTTTATTTTTGTTTTTGAGCAATAACTCATTATTTTCAATCACTCTAGAACACATGAGACAAAGAGAGCCGAGTGAAATAAAATCGTCGATGAAAAGTCTAGTTGAAATATTGCCAATTACAATGAAAGAACTTTTTGATGATCAGGAAAGTGATACATATGACATGGAATTTCGTGAGCGTAAATTGTTTCATGTTTCTGCTCTTGCTTCATTTTCAAGATTGAATTTAGCCTTCCTTTCTGAGACAAACATGAATGATGACCACGACAACATGGCGATAAATGATAAAGATGATAAAAATATTAATTCAATTGCTACTCCTACACATGATCAAACACGGTTACCTTTGCAATCGAAACAGAAACGGGTATTTAGTGCAACATCAATAATATGGATATGTTTATTTCTGATGTCTAGTATATTAATGATTATATTCGGAGTAGTAAGTGGAATCTATCTACATCGTGCATTACTAAATAATGCCCAGTTAAAAGAAAAGATTTTGACTGAAAGAGAGAAGTGTAACGAGACAATGCAACAATTGATCAATCAACTGAAATCCAGAGAAAAAGTAAAAAGTAAGATTAACATTTTGTTTCGTCATTACAGCTAAATCACAGAATACTTTGGAAAATCGAAAGTCGCTTCGGAGTTCATAATCTGTTTTCTTTTTCAGTGCACAGATAAATATTTATATTATCGAGTTCTGTTAAAGAAGAGGGGTAGTACGGTGGCGAAAATTGGCAGAATAAGCTTGAATAGTTGCCAACGAGAAGAAATTCTAAGAATTAAATGAGAAATAATTACCATGTACTTGTTTTATTCCTTAGATGGATTGATTGAAATCAAAAACTTCGGCAGTGCAAAAGAAAAATATCTCATTTTTATTGTAGCCTTTTCATTCTCTGTTTACTTCACATGAAAGAGACAGAATAATGATAATTGATTTATTGCTCTTTCTCTTGCTCATCCTCTAGTCGTTCTCAAGCAGCATTTTTTTCTACCGAGCAATTTCAAACATAGCTTCTTCTTCAGATATTTTGTGATACGACATCATACAGCACTTTCAATATTTAGTTAAGTGCTTTTCTATTAACGAACAAATATAGTTTGTCCTTCATTTCATTGATCAAACTTTCGTATACTTTTCTATTCCGGTAAAAAATGTTTGTTAAATACTTTTATTGTTTCCTCTTAGATATTTCGAAGATTGCAGTCAATG